GGATGCAGGATCTAGTTCCCTGATCAAAGATGGAACCTGGGCCACCTGCATTGGGAATGCAGAGTCTTAGCCACTGGACCACCAGGGAAGTCCCAGATTTATATACTTTAGGTATTTAAATATCTCAGAGTGCAATGTCTCCTTACCCTTTTTCACCCAAAGTTTTCTTAGCTAAGAATTTCACTGGTTTCTTCTTCCAGATAAGCTTAAATTTATTCATTGGGAAATTTTATTAGGGTTGTGTTAAACCACGAGTCAGCACTTTTTTTTTCCTTTTTGGTAATGGGCCAAATACAAAATATTTTAGATTTTTGTGGGCTACATGTAGTCTATAGTTCTTCCTCCTCCTATTTATTATTTTTTACATTTTTTCCCACAGATGTAAAATATAAAACCACAGTTTAAGAGCTGTAGAAAAACAAGATGTGGGCTGGGTTTGGCCTGCAAGCTGTAGTTTGCTGAGTCCTAATTTAAACCAATTGAATGGTCTTGATAGGGCTGCTGTAACAAAGTACCAGGTACTGGGTGGTTTAAACCAACAGAAATTTATTGTCCTACTGTTCTAGATGTTAGAAGTCTGAAATTAGTGTATCAGCAAGCCTGTGCTCTCTCTAAAACCTATATGGGAATCAGTCCTTCTTGCCTCTTCCTGGCTTCTGGTGGTTTGCTTGCTCTTTGGTGTTCCTTAGCCTGCAGTTGCATGACTCCAGCCTCTGCCTCTGTGGTCAGCTGGCGTCCTTCCAGTGTGTCTTGTTTTCACAGGGCTGTCTTCTGATAAGGACACTAGACTTATTGGATTACACTTTACTCCAGTGTAACCTCCTCTTGACTAATTATATCTTCAATATCCCTATTTCCAAATAAGGTCATATTCTGAGGTTCTGAAGTTAAGACTTCACTATATCTTTTTAGGCAGGATACAATTCAACCCATAACATAAATAAATAAATTTGGGATGAGTACAAGTTGAGTAGAGTAGAAATAGAGAGTGCCAAACCTAACCACTCAACCACTAGGGAGCATCAAATAGACTAGAAATAGATATCTTTTCAATATTGAATATTTCCATCCAAGATTATATATGTGTTCTATGTTAATTATTTTTGTAACATCAAATCATCCTTGCAAACCTGGTTTATCCCTATATATTCATCAGTATAATTTTAAATCTGTCTTGCCACTATTTTCATAGGAATTTATATCTACCTTTGTAAGCAAGCTCAATCTTTAGTTTTCTTTCTTTTTATGCTATGTTAAGTGTTATTGAGACCATGGTTCCTCCGTAGAATGAATAACTTCATTTTCCATAGTTGTCTACATGGTGAGAGCAGTTTATGTAGCATGGGAATTAATGCTTTCAGGAAAGTCTGAAAGACTTCACCAGTAACACCACCAGATCCTCTGGCTTTTTTTTGGCAGATAAATTTTTGACGGCTCTACAATCCCTATATGGCTACTTCTCCTTCTCAAAGTAGACATATTCAGAGCTGAGTCATTAGAACACCAGACTCAGAGTTCTAAAAATGCACTCCTGCACCTGGATATACGAAAGCTGCACAGGTACTTGATCCTGAACTCAGAGAATGGCTTTGAGATCAAGCTGATGGGCTCTGATGTGGGCAGTTCCCGCTGCAGAGTGTTTGTTGATGCGAGGTATCAGGAGTTCACCTGCAAGTGCATTAGCCTGACTGTTGCTGACCTAGATATATCTGTGTACCCTGGAGCAAGTGTGCAGTGGTCAGAGGGAGCATGGATGGGAAACTGAATGTGTTATACTCTGCCAATGGATGGTACTCCAGCAATCACTGAAGCAGCAAAGTGGGGTCAAGGGCTGCAGAACCTAGCTACCCTCTTCAGTTTCAGTAGGAACCTGCCAACTCAGCCAGCCATCTTTCTAGTCCAGCCTAGCACACCAAGGGCTTGCCTGTTTAAACACTAGTCCTCACCATGTTTCCACGCCCTCCACGAGGCATGGAGTGCACCTACTCCCATTGGGTACCCACCGGCAATTGTGTGTGGAACAGCCCATCAGAATATCGGATTTCTGGCCACTCTTTGGAGCTGCTGCAATCCAATATGTTTTCCCATATGTTTGAACCTTTCTGAAATTCTTCCATCTGTTTCTGGGAAATGTGAAGGAATGTAATGATCTTTTCTGGGGTTATTAAACCGACAGCTGTTGTCATTAATAGAGGACATTCTTTACTGCAGTGAACAAACGCCAGTCATATCTTTAGCCTGTCGTATACGCTCTCAGTTAATGACTAGAGCGTTTGTCTCAAGGCTGGGGTTATGAACATGGGTGGGGGGGTTTCTGTTGCCAGCTTTGAAGATGATTCATCTTCAGACTGTGAATGCCCTCACTTCTTTTCTGTACTCTAGGCAGCTTTTGAGGCAAAATGTATAATTGGAAAAAAACAAAATCCGATCCGCTGCCAGCCGTTGGCTTTCTTTGAAAATGAAGGAGCTTGAGTGCTGAAAAGGAAAGATTACATTTTACTGTGTGTTTCAAATTACGGTTCATTTTTTAGTAGAATGGTAGAGGCAGAGAAAAACCAACTTTTATAGTTTGAATTGAAGGTTATCTACACTGTCGTAGACTGGGACCTGGGAAACAGGACTGGGCACACAGAGAAAGACAACAAGGAGGAGAGGGATCTGCCTTCCACCTGTCCCCTGGGTGGAATGGGCTTTGCTGACTGATAGCCTTAAGGATTTATCTTCCGGGTTCAGCTAGCCTCATAGGGCCTGGTAGCAGAGGGATGGAAGAATTTATTATCTCACCAGGTAAGATTCCAAGATGCAGAAGGTGGTAGGTGGAGTAGGGAGGTGATGCAGTATCTGGGTACAGCCATCCCAGGCGACCTTGTCTAGATCTGCCAGGTTCTCCAGTAGGGGTCCTGGAAGAGTTGGGGCAGATAAAACCATGTTTAGGCCCTGAGAAGCTGGGGTATAAATGAGTAGTGATCAGAGAAGGAACCAAGAAGACCACCTCTACAAACGGGCACTTGGCAGTGGACCCAGGCCCCAGATCCTCCTCCCTGCCCCCCTCCAGCTGCCATTCAGGTCCATCAAGAGCCCGTGGTGGAGCTGGGGGCTCAGTGGTTGGCTCTGGATCTTGGATTCGTTCAATGGGAAGGTTCTGGCGTCTGTGATAGGAGATCTGACAGGTCAGGAGAGTGAACCTGCTTTACTGCCTGATGCCTGAGGTTTCCGCTTGCTCAGGGAATGAGGACCCAAACCCACAGCAGGAAGCTGAGAGGGCCCAGCAGTCAGGAGTCAGGGAGACGAAGTGGGGAAGGGAGGGGACAGTGGGCACCATAGGGTCACTGCTGCTCTCCTCCTCTAGTGACAGAAGGTTTCCTCTGATACCTCATTCATCCACCCATTCAAAATCCTGAATGTAGTACTTTCATGGACTGACATTTTGCTCAGTCCTGGGAATATCAAGGGCCTGAGGCCTGCCCCCAGGAGCCCGCAGTCTAGCAGGGAGGCAGACATTCAGACCACATGGTGCCATTGTGTGGTGGCTGCTGGGTAGGGGCACATGCAGGGTGCAGTGAGGCATGGAGAATGGGTGTTAATTAACACCTGTTTTGGTGGATCAGGGAAGGCTTCCTGGAGGAGGCAACATCTCAGCCGGATACAAGAGGGCAAATATAATCCATCCAGTCCACAGTGCGTGGGGGAAAGTTTTGCACAGAAAAGGCAGCAACAAAAAAGCCCCACAGTGAGTAGGACACTGGAGTGGGAATGTAAGGTGTGAGTTGGGAGCAGCCAGAGATGAGGCTGTGTGGGAACCAGATTCTTGGGTGGGCTTTATAACTCGACCTCACCTGAATTTCTAGGCTTGCAGCTTACAATAATGTTTATAATTTGCTGTGATTTTCCTGTTGGCTTTACACTCTACCCTATATGCCAATTAGAATATAAAAATCTAGCAAAGTGTACATAAAAGAGATGTGGGTATTTGCTTGTGAACTGGCTGCTCAGCTTGGAGATTTAACAACTTCACAGTGTCTCCATATCTTATGGGGAGAAAAGAAAGGAAAAAACCATCTCTTGGCATGATTGCCTTTGTTACCATAGGGCCCCCTCCAGGATCAATCCTTTAGGGGTGACTTCTCTGCAGGAAGGGGTCTATCCTGTGATATTTCATGTCTCATCTCTTCCCAAAGTGCTGGACACAAAGATGGCCTCAAAGTGTTTCTCTCCCTCTCAAGTTTCCAGATGATGTTGTGCCAACCATTTGTCACTGGGCAGAAGCTGGGGCCTGGATGTTTCTGGTTGGAGGATTCAGACAGCAGCATTCCCTGCCTCCCACAACCCACTACAGGCTCCTTTGTAATCTCTGAATTTGCACGTGGGCGTAGAGGTGCCTCTTGAGAAAATCCGCCCCCGCCCCAGATTTCACATGAAGTCGCTGGAGTTGGGAGGGATTTATAGACATCAAATAAAATATTTCTCAAAGTCAAGCAATGCTTGAATCCCCTTTTAAAATGGAAATATTTTCAAAGAACCCTTCCCCCACTTTTGTTGAGTCAAGTAATTTCTATTATAATGTTACTTAAGTACATACCGACATGAAGGCTAGAGTAAAAGCCTTCTGCTTATGGCTCTCATATGACTATAAAAGCAAAACAAATGGACAAATTATAGAATGGAAAACTACAAAATCAATAAAATTCAAATTAACAGCATTAATTTAATGGGATGTCATTTTATCAAACCTAAATCACCACGCTGCCCATGAGCAGGGACTGAGTGGGCGGTGCAGCCCTTGAGAGCCTGGCAGGCTTGCAGGAGCTATTTTCCAGCCCTCTTGGTTACAACTCCATGGAAGGGATGTCTTTGGTCTTGCCTTGGCCCAAATGCATCATCCACAGAACATGCAGCCCTCTGTCCTTTTCTTCTTAGCCTGATGTCATTAGCAAAAATAAAATCTAACATGGTACCTAAAAGATGGAAAATTATTTTGAAGCCCTGTCCCCTGTCCCCAGCATTCAGGAGGAAGTCAAGAACACTAAGAAACAGACCGATCCTGGCCTTATGGAGCCAGTGGAGAAAATCAGACTTACTCGTGGAAGCATCAGCCACACAGAACTGCCAACCATATGATGTGATCTGGGCCCCAGCACTGAAGTGCCTGAGAAGAAGAGGTCAGATAGACATGGACGATCAGGGAGATAACGGTGGGGACTCTGGGGACAGAGCTGGCTGTGTCACTGGGGTGGGGAACTCCGTCTCTGGCTCTGTCCAGGAGGAGCCACCTCCCGTGGGGGCTTTGGCCAGGATGCTGCCTGGAAGGGTAGGGATGGTCTGCCCTGTGGGACTCCTGCATGCTTCTTTCATTCATCCCTGCGTCCTTCCCCTGACACTCAATGGGGCGGCTCTCAGACCAGGTCGCTCCTCCGGGAAGGTTAAGCCAGGAGAATTCAGCCAGTACCGGTAGCATCAGCCCAAACAACAACAATGACAATAAAGGTTTATTTAAACAATAAGCATTTACGTACCAAGTCCCTGAATGAGGTATTGAGTGTGGAGCAATATCGAGTATCCAACGAGAAAGAGAATCCTGTGAACAGACCACTGCAGTATGAGAGGAAAACGTGATGAGCCCTTGACGAGAAGGAGGGCAGTTAGTCCTGCTTGCATATGGGCAGAATCTAGGCAGGCTTATAAGAGGAGGTGGCCTCTGAGGGCCGGGTAGAATCTGGAAAGGTGGAGATGAGAGAGGAGAATCTAGAGGGGTGGCTGCAAGAAATCCTGAGAACATAGGGGCTGGAGTCTGGCTTAGGAGAGAGAGGCCAGGCATGGAAGGGCACAGAAGCCTTAGAACTGGTAATGGAATTGTGCCATAGAGGACAGTGATGGCCAAACAGAGGGACTGGGGGTGTCTCCGACAATCAAGGCAGAGCCCTTATGTTTTCCAGGCCTGGACTGACCCCATCTGATCAGTGAGCTGGTTCCATCCCTCTGGGAGTGTGGGCAGAGGGCTGCAGGAGAAGAGGCAGGAGGTGAGGACTACTGTTTAAGAGATGAGACAAGGCTGTGGACCAAGCGGGCAGCCCTGGATGGACAGAAAAGACATGAGGTGACTGCAACCCACGGCTTCCCGTCCCCTGTTTGCTCCTGGTCCGCAGATTTGAACACATGCTTCAAACTTCCTTCACCAGTCTCAGGGGCTGGAGATGCCCCCACCTTACATCTGGGAAGAGGTTTCAAAGAGAGGGTTCTTGGAGGATACTCATTACAATCACTATTTGCCACCCTAATCACATCTCCTCCCTCCAAGAAATTCTGATACATTTTGCCTGCTCCCTGTCCCAGTCCGGCAGCCTACTGTCTCAAGGGCTCACCCTGCCCACCCAACCTGACCCTGATCTGGAGGACAAAAGCATTACTAAAGAGGGACTGAAGTGCCAGATCCACACCAGGAAGCAGTTTAATGGGCAGTTAGCATCCCTCTTCCATAGGTTTGGCTACAAGTCATAGAGCATGAGGTTCTTCATGGTCAGTAAGGAGTTAGGAGAACGCCTTCTGAGAAAGGGGCTCCTCAGGCTCACGATGGGCATCCAGGTGCCACTGGGTTTGCTAATCCTCTTCCCTGTGCCCCACTCCAGGCTTCTCTGGGAAGGCAGCAGGCACCCCTGTGTACTGTGAGCATCCGAGCCCAGCCACACTGCACCGTTGCCTTGTGGCCTCCACTAGGAGCTGCTGGAGGCTGGAGACAGTCACCTGTATCTTGGTGGGATGCCCCCAGCACCTGGCATGGAGTAGATGCCCCATCAATGTTTGCTGAATTGAACTGAATTGAAAGTCTTAGTATGTCGGTGATGGCTTCAAGTTCAGGCTCCAGGCACAATTGGCATCGACTATGTTTCCATTGTTCAGCATCTCTGCTTTCATCAGGGCAGCCAAGGGGTGTCCTTCTGGCTCTCAAGCCCTCCCCTTTGCAAAGCCCCTGCTGCCCATTTTACCCCTGGACCACTTAACTTCACTTTCCTGGTCCTTAGTGGTCTGCGCTGACTCTGCCCGTACATTCTTCGATTCTGTTCTGGGTCTGCGTTTGTCTGACCTGGATTTTAGCTGTGATCGAAGAGACTTTGTCCTGCTCCAGTTTCTCTTTGAATCTACAGATGTGTGACACGTTTTCCTCCTGTTTAGCACAGTGAATTCACTCTTCTAGGGGAGCAATGTGTGTGTGTGTGTGTGTGTGTGTGTGTGTGTGTGTGTAGAGGAATAATGTTTGCTGTTTAACCACATCCTGCCCACTGCTGTTGGTGGTGCCTTCTGCCTCTCTGGTGGGAAGGTCGTGCTGGAACTGATCTTACAGCTCTCTTTGCAGAACAGACATGCTTAAAATAATTAGTATATAATCGAGATCGTTAAAAATAATTTTCCAAGTGTTTTTAATTCATGCTTTGTGTAAGACTGAGAAAATATCATCTATCCATCTCAAAAATATGAGAATGATGGTGGTTTATCTTTTAGGTGGATGGTAGGGCTGATGGTCGTTGGAGATGGTGGTAAACCCCCTCCCAAGATGCCTTCTCGTCTTTACACCATGCTGGGTGTGTCACATGCACTCCAGCACTTATGGATTCTGTGAACTTGGCTGGTTGGGAAGCTGAACTGTTGCCCAGGCACACAGGGGCAGGTGGGGAGGGGGAGGTTTCTGCAGAGCCATCCAGAGATGCAATCTCATCTGTCTTCTATACTCAGAGCTGGGTAGTTTCTCAGGACTTTCCTTTAAACTCATGTGAAACCAACTTTTCTTTCCCTGTCTGGTTTTAGGGAACAAAAGCTCAGTTCCTATGACTCTCACCCCTGCATTCATTTATTCTTCCTGTGAATATTTATTGAGAACCTGTTATGTGCCAGAGCACTTTCTAAGGGCCAGGGACACACAGCAAGTGAACAGAACTGATCAAAACCCCCTGCTCTCTGGAGATCGACAAAAAAAAAACGGGGTCATGAGAGAACTTTCTGGGGGGAGGTAATATGCTGTATCTTGGTAAAAGTTTGGGTTATAGAGGTATATGTGTTTGTAAAAACTTGTTGAATGATAACCTTGAAATTTATGCTGTCACTCTCTGTAAACTTTGCCACCAAAAATACAAAAGGATTGCACACAAATACTGAATTCTGGTTGTTGATATGCATTCTGAATGTTTAGGGGTGAAGGGTACTAATGTCTGCAATTTACTTTGAAGTGAAGCAAAAAATAAGATGGCATGATGGCTGGATAAAGAGAAAGATAGAGTGATGGTTAGACATTTGCTAAGGCAAATGTTGCAAAATGTTAACGGCTGTAAATCTGGGTGGTGGGTATATGAGAGCTTATTGTGCAATTTTTTTCAACTTTCCTTGTCTGAAAATTTCCATACTGAAATGTCAGAAAAATAAAATAGAAATGAGTTAAACATGAAAACCAAAAAGTCTGAAGTCATCTCTGCCCCAGCCAAGTTTGCAGTTGAGTGGAAGGAGAAAAACAGTATCTAGTATTAGATGATGAAGGTGATGAATGCCTTAAAGACAAATAAAGCAGGGGATGGGATGGGGAATACTGGGGTGTGTGGGAGGCACAAGTGATTTAAAATAAGGAAGGCCTGAGCTGGTGAGGGAACTGGTTGTGGGGGAACCTGGGAGACCATTTCATGCAGGGGGCATAGCACCTGCAGAGGTCCTTAGGTGTGTGGCATGCTCAAGAAACCAGGGGGCCAGTTGGTCTGCAACAGAGGGAGTGAGGAGGATGAGGCTGGAGAGGCACTTGGGCCCTACGGGTACCATGGTAACCTTGGCTTCTGGTCTAAGGGAGATGGGGAGGGACATCCCTGGTGGCCCAGTGGATTGAACTCCACGTTCCCAGTGCAGGGGCCCAGGTTTGATCCCTGGTCAGGAAACTAGATCTCACATGTCGCAACTAAGAGTTCACATGCCACAACTAAAGATACTGCATGCTGCAACTAAGACCCAGTGCAGCCAAATAAATAATTTTTTTTTTTTAAAGAGAGACAGGGAGCTGCTGGAGGGATTTTGAGCACAAGAGTGAAATAGTGAAATAATCAGAGAGAGACTGGGGGATCCAGAGTCACACAGAGTTGGGCGAGGATAAAAGTAACCTCCAGTTATAGTCAAGGCCATAAGTTGGGGCCAAGCCCCAAAACAGACACAAGAACCAGCCCTGCCTTCCAAATTCTGACTTTGCTGGTCTCTGAGCCTGACCCAGGCTTGGCTCCCCGCTGAGTTTTGGAGCAGGCTCTGGTGAAACCTCTATAGGCACAATGTGCCTAGTGATCCTGTCCTAAACCCCCTCTTGGGGCACTGTGGGTGTCCCATCAAAATCTGTCTTCCCAGGGGTGTCGCTTATGTGCCCACAATAGGTCCTGGGCATTCTCCTGGCCTCCCCACTCAAAGGCTTGGCCAGGGTCTAACATCTAGGTGAGTGGGACTAAAGAGAGGTGCATAGAAAAACTATCATCTTCTGAGGTGACTGACCATCCTGGTCCACCTGGGAGTGTCCTGGTTTTAATCCTGAGAAATTCCTCAGTCCTAGGTAAACCAGGACGGCAGGTCACCCTACCTTCTGCCCACCTCACAGTCTTATTTCCTGTCAAGTTTGCTTTTCATTGCACTCTGGACAATCGGTGCATCAGCATACTACCTTTGAAATGCTGGTTTAGGATCAGTGACTGCTTCACCTAAAAAACATCCTCCCATCCAGCTACACCTGTGCCCCACTTTCTGGCATGGGGGTGAAAAATCAGAGACACTGGGTTCCCAAGGAGGGGACAAGTTCTGCCACGTGTTCAAGTGTAATGGGCCAGTATATGGGCCAGCCACCAGCTGGTGAGGCTCGTGGGACAGGCTGCCCTTGGCTCTGACCACCCTAATGACCACAAGGCACCACTGAACCTGGAAGCAGACAGGATGTCTGCAGAGAACAGACTCAGTGAAGCAAAGCTCCCTGGCAAAGCACACTGAATTCGTAACTCTCATATTTGTGATGGGGCCAGACTTCTCTCCTTGAATCAGACCCAGGGTGTTCAGTGAAAAAAAAGAGAGAGAATGATATTGATTGCCCATGTTTTGTAACAACTAAAATTCAATAATACACCTTGTTAATTTAGTGCAGAAGGAAAAAATTCCCCACTGTAAATACAGGTTACAGGAAACAGAGGAAAAAATTATATCATAACATGTAAAGATGCTAATTCAACATTTTGTACTGTAAATACCATAGCATCACATCAGCCTAGAACATGGAATCGCTTTTCTCTACTTATTGGACTTATTTCTCTACTTATTGAGTCTTATTGAACTCAGCCCTTTTCATCTTCTGATTGGATGGAGACCTTGAATGAAGAAAAGATACATGATCAGAAAGAGGTTTTTTTTTTTTTTTCAATTTCTTATTTAAAGCTGCAGAATAAAAACACAATTTAAATGAAAGGAAAAGCAAACTACAATTATCTGTATTTAGGAGACAGGCAACGAAGGCATCTTTGTCCTTCTGGAAATAGCATTTGAGGAAAAATTAAATCTTTAGTTTGTTGGAACAGGAGGAGATCAGATATGCAGTTTTGATCAATCCCCAAATTATCTTTTAAGTTGCTGACTTTCTGGGTCACCACACATGGCGTGGAAACCACAGTGGGAGCTACACCAGCTTTTCAGAAACCAGCACTCCTCTCTTAAGGAGACTGAGTGTTTGAAATATATCTGTGATTGAAAATACTTAAGTGTGAGGCCTCCAGCGTTCTTCCCTTTCAAGGTGACAGTAATTGAGGGATGGCGCCATGCAATTCTGACATTTATAATTCGGCGGCGGAAAAGGTCAGCTTCCTTTTGGATGAGCACTGGGGCCAGGGGGAGAGGAGCGCTGAGATGTCACATTACACTTTTTTTTAAAAATATTTTCAGGGATGCTTTGATTAATAACAGCTTCAACTTGCAATATGTAATTATAACCCCCCCCTCCACTGTATGAAGTGACAGACTCTGAAGAAATAAAGCTATCATTTCCCCCACAGAAGGGTTTAAATGGAGGCCCAAGAGAACTTGGGAGAAATCATCTCCACGAGAAAGAAA